TTTGGTTTCAAAAGTAAGACCTACTCTCACCTCACAACCTATAAATATAATTCACCCAACCAAGTTCTCTCCACCTTCAGCAATCAACATACTTGCATTTGCATATCATTCACTCTCTTCCCGTTCCTTTCACAACTTGTTTATCATTAAAGGCTAAACCACACATCCACAACTTTGCACTGCCATTTCCATTCATAAGTTATATATATATAATGGCCAGAAGAGGAGGACACGTGCATGTAATGCTCTCTAGCATGGTTCTAATCCTCTCCGTTTTGCCATGGGCCTCGGCATCTCTGAAGGTGGATTTCTATAAAACTTCGTGTCCATCTGCAGAGGCAATAGTGAGAAGAGCTGTGAACAAAGCAGTTTCTCTGAACCCGGGCATCGCTGCTGGTTTGATCAGAATGCATTTTCATGATTGTTTTGTCAGGGTGGGTAACTACTTCGATCATCTTCATACCTCAATATATCACTTCATTAGTGCATGTGCATGTGCATGTGCATGTTTAGTGCACATTTCAAATTAAATAGTTACTTAAACAATTGCTATATATGGTATATGCAGGGTTGTGATGGTTCAGTATTGTTAGAATCCACACCGGGAAATCCATCAGAGAGAGAACACCCAGCTAACAACCCAAGTTTACGAGGCTTCGAAGTCATCGAAGAGGCTAAGGCCCAAATAGAAGCAGAGTGTCCTCACACTGTGTCGTGCGCAGACATTCTTGCTTTTGCTGCTCGAGACAGCGCTAACAAAGTTGGGGGCATAAAGTACGAGGTTCCAGCTGGACGCAGAGACGGTCGTGTCTCTATAAGAGACGAAGCGTCACAACTGCCTCGTCCAACCTTTAACGCAAAGGAGCTTATTAGTAACTTCGAACAAAAAGGGTTGTCTGCAGATGAAATGGTAACACTCTCTGGAGCGCATTCTGTTGGTGTCTCACACTGTTCCTCCTTCTCCGATCGCTTGTACTCTTCCAATGCTACCTTTGCTCAGGATCCCTCTATGGACCCCAACTTTGCTTCGTCCTTGAAAAACAAGTGTCCACCACGGAGCAATGATGATAACACAGTGGTGCTGGATGCTTCCACCCCGAACCGTTTGGACAACAAGTACTACACGGGACTCAAGAACCATCGTGGTCTGTTGACCTCAGATCAGACGTTGATGACCAGCCCCTCAACGAGGCCAATGGTGCTGACCAATGCAAAACATGCTTCAATTTGGGCACGTAAGTTTGCTAAGGCAATGGTGCATATGGGTTCCATTGATGTGCTAACCGGCTCACAAGGCGAGATCAGGACTCGTTGCAGCGTCCTTAATTAACTCTCCACATGCTTAATCCCTTCTGCTAAAACTCCTTTTATTCAATTGTTCATACCTGCAAATATATATGTCTTCTTTATTTATAATTTTTTTTTTTTGGATATAATGTGATTGATTCATTCTTTGATTTGTACTGTTCGGCCTTGGCCAATTCAATTGTATATTTTTAACTCAGTCAAATAAACACATGAAGAATTATGTTGGATTCCCTAAAAGATGTCTGCTTACAGATTTGTATTTTGGTCGCTGTCGCTGATTATTTATT